GAGGAAAACTCAGAGTTCTATAATAATTTGCCTTGCTTTTGTCCTTGTTTCCTGGGAGAGAGAACCTAAATCCTCAGAATTTCCCAAGTGATGGTAACATCTTTGTTATTCATGATGGGCCCTAATAGTTTATGCTAATGTGAGGACTCACACGGGACCTTAGATTCAGGACGGGGGCTGGCCATGCAAAAAGACTGACCACGTGATTAGAGGGTTGGCCCTTTGAGCCCAGCAGAACTGAGTTCAACAATGTAGCCAACAGTTCAACCATGACAACATAATGAAACCCCAATAAAAACTCTGGACACCAAGGCTTGGGTGACATTCCCAGTTGGTGATGTACATCCATGTGTTGGGAGGGTGACATGGTAGGCAGAGGACATGGTAGCTTCATGTTGGAGACTCTCCCAGACCTTGCCCGTGCATCTCTTCTTTTAGCTGGTCCTGATTTGTATCATTTTATTGCTACAGCAAAGCCACAATAGTAAGCATAGCTAGCGTTTTGCAGAGTTCTGGGAGTCATTCTAGTGAATGATCAAACCTGAGGGGTTTGTGAACAGTCTTGAATTCGTAGCTAGTTGGTCAGAAGTACAGGTGGCTGGGAAACCCCAGAGCTTGCAGCTGGTATCTGAAGTGACGCAAGTCCTGTAGAATGTGCCATTAACTTGTGACATCTGGCCTAACACTGGGCAGCTGGTGTTCAAATTACATTGCCCCGAGCCAGCAGACTTTGCACCCCACTGGGAGAAAGCTGTCTGCATCCCCATGGCATGCTTTGCACAAGCACTAGCAGGAGGCCATGTTTTTGTATATCCTACCAGGCACTCTGGCTAAAAGCAGTCCAGAGAGCCAAGGACAGCAGACTTAGAAAACATGGTGGGAGGCTTCTCCATTTGCCTGTCCTGGTTAAAACAGACACACCCTCCCACAGTGCTCTATCCCCAGGAAGCTGGGGATGGTCTCAACAGTCTGTTCTGAGTTTGGTTTCTGGTGGGAACTAGCAGGTTGTCTATGATCCTGTTTCTAACCCACTATACCTTTCCACCTTCCAGACCTATCCCACCATAGCTGAAGGGTGGGGATGGTGAAATTGGTGCTCAGGAGATATTAAAGAGGGAAGTGCATTTTAAGAGAAGGGTTTTAGAGGGAACTGGTAAAGAATTAGTGGCTAATTGGATTTGGAAGCTGGTGCAAGGGAGGAGTCAAGGGTGAGTCCCAGGTCTCTGGTGATGCCATCTAAACTAAGGCAGGTAAGAGGACAGGAGCAACAGGCCTGGAGAGGGAGCTCCCAAGGGGAGATGACCACAGGCAGATGGATGTAAGATGAGGAGCTCAAGGGGGAGATCAAGGTCAGAGACAGACTTGCGGGTCATCAGCACACAGGTAGAGGATTCCCAAGCTGGCCCAGCTCTCCCTCTGGGAGAGGGACAGGATGCCAAGATGGAGCTCTGGGGGGCACCATGATGGGGCCCTTCAAGGAGCCTGGAAGGAAGTCAGATAAGGAGATGCAGGAGGAGTTCATGGAATCAAAGTGAGTGAAGAGCTCAGAGTGGGCGATTTGGTTATCAAATGCAAAGACGTGTGATATGAGGATTGAGAAAGTGCTCTGTGGGCTTAGGTTGGGCGTGCCTAGCACGGAAGGAAAGTGACTACCCAAGAGCTGGCACCTGGAGCAGCAGAGCCAGTGCTGCCACCAGAATGGGCACTGGGAGAGCCGGCCTCCCCCTCTCCTGAGCACAAGCACCTCCCGGAGCTCACAGCAAACACAATTCCCACGTGGGCAAGGAGCTGCTACTTTTCACGGCAAGCCTTTAGTTATTGATTTTTCATTTTGATTTTTTCTTATTCTCTTTTCAACCAGAGTCATTTGAGCAGAATAGTTCTTGATTTTTTAAATCACATGCATATTGAACTTTGATAAAAATAGAAATTTAAGAAGCCCATTTTCTTACACTAATTACTGTATATGACTTAATACTAAATCATATATTTTAGCTGGCTCTAATCAGTCTTTCAAAACAGATGAAGCTCATTTTAGGCACATTCCAACCTCCTTTGCTGTGTAACCCATTTCTCAGGTCACACTAACATGTGGTAAAATTCCTCTTACATTATTGTCAGTGATTAAAGATAGACACTGGGCCAGGCACGGTGGCTCACGCCTGTAATCCCAGCACTTTGGGAGGCCAAGACAGGCGGATCACTTGAGGTTGGGAGTTTGAGACCAGCCTGACCAACATGGAGAAATCCCGTCTCTACTAAAAATACAAAAATTAGCTGGGCATGGTGGCACATGCCTGTAATCCCAGCTACCTGGGAGGCTAAGGCAGGGGAATCGCTTGGGAGGCGGAGGTTGTGGTGAGCGGAGATTGTGCCATTGCACTCCAGCCTGGGCAACAAGAGTGAAACTCCATCTCAAAAAAAAAAAAAAAAAAAAGATAGCCATTGTACCTAGCAAGACCTGCGCTCGGGCAGTCCAGATCCCACTAAAAATCTGAGAAATGTTAATCCTTTCTTTAGGCCTAAGAAAACACAGGAAAGGAAGAACTTCATCATCCTTCACCCTTGCCTGCCCAACCACAGCAGCAGTGCGGGATGCTACATGGTTTCTGCAAGCCGCTCCCCATCTTCCCAGCCGACACCTGCAGCCCTGGTCTGTGTCCAGACCACGGCATGCGGGCTACTGCCTGGTCCCTTTGTGGTGCCTCCCTGGGTACCTGGGATTTCATCAAACACCCACAAGACCAAGGGTCTCTTCATCTGTCTCCCTGAATTAAAGTCAAAGATCAACATTTCTTAAGTGTCACATTCCTGTCCCTTTATCTCGAGAAGCATCATTTACTAGAAATATAAGCAGTCACACTAGAGCCTGCGGGCTGAATGTGGCCTGCCATCTGTTTTTGCATGACCTGTGAGTTAAGAATGGGCTTTACCTTGTTAAATAGTTGGAGGAAAATGTCAAAATAATAATTAGTGTTAGGGACTGAATTGTGTCCACTTCCCTTCCCCGCTCAAAATTCATATATTGAAGCCCAACCCCTAATGGATCTGCATTTGGCAAAGTTTACAAACCAGCGGGTGCCCCCCACCTACCCAACTCCCATTTCAGAGAGTTGGGTCCCACCTCTGTGGCCAGTGTCCTGGGCTAAATGGCCCGACCTGATGAGCAGATTCCCACACCTTGTCCTCCCTGCACGTCCGGGGCGGCGTCTGTTCCCAGACCATAGCACCCTGGGACCCCCAACATGGGATCTGACTCCAGATAAATCTGCCACACTTTTTTTTTTTTTAAATATGTAGTGAGACAGAGTCTCTCTCTCTCTGACACCCAGGCTGAAGAGCAGTGGCACCAGCATGGCTCACTGCAGCCTCCACCTCCTGGGCTCAAGTGATTCTCCTGTCTCAGCCTCCCCAGCAGCTGGAACTACAGGTGTGCCATTGTGCCATCATGCCTGGCTAATTTTTGTACTTTTTTGTAGAGACAAGAGTTTCACCAAGTTGTCTAGGCTGATCTCAGAACTCCTGGGCTCAAGCGATCCTCCCGCCTTGGCCTCCCAAAGTGCTGGGATTACAAGCATGAGCCACCGTGCCCGGCCTACCATACTTCTTAACACAGGTCCTTCTCAAGCTCAGATGGTAACTAATTACAAGCAGATGACATGACCTAATATTTGAAGTTTCTCATGGTGTGCTTAAATGTTCTATTAATTTTTAAAAGGCCATTCCATATTTACAAATAAAAGTTATTTCAAACACAAATACATTAAAAAAAACCATGCTTTTATGGCTGACGAATCAACACAAAAGAGCATTTCAGTTGACTCTGCCTACCTACAATCACATTCCCTGCACCCTTAAAGTTGCAGATCAACTAGGTTGTCTGAAGTTGTTGTCCTGGTCCTTAAGCACCCCCATGAGTCAGTCGACACTAAAGAAGACAGTCCTTTTATGGAGGCATGGAACCGCTGCCATCGGCTTCAGAGAGGTCTGGGAAGGTGCAGCAGGGCAGACATCTGCCCCAGTCTCCAATGTGGTGACCCCGTATCCCAGGGAAGCTTAGGAATTCTCAAAAAGTCAACTGTCACTAGCTTGGTAGCTCCCAGTTCAGCAACCAACACAAAACCCAGCACTAAAGCGCTAAAAACTCACAAAGAACAGCAAAGCAGCATTTGTGACAAAGCCGGGCAGAAATAACGACACAGCTGGTTCTCAGTTCAGCTCCAACGTGCCCGCTTGGGGAACGACAGTCCTGCCTCACACTTACTTGTCAGTAAACCACACAGCTAACCAAATTTTCCCAGCTAATGAGCTCCCTGAGATGAGTGAATGTCCCCAGATACCTGCAGCCTAGTCAATATTCAGTTTGCCAAATTAAAGTCTAGAGGAGACCATATTTATATATAAGAATATAAATCGTCTGTCACTTCTCCAAATGTATCCTGACTAGCTCCTTCTTTTCTCCATTTTCAAATTCTAACTTTTATTTCCATCATGTGTTCTTCTAAGATTGTTCTCCTTTTTTTGAGACAGGGTCTCACTCTGTCACGAGGCTGGAGTACAGTAGCACAATCATGGTTCACTACAGTCTCAACCTCCTGGGCTCAGGTGATCCTCCTGGCTCAGCCTCCTGAGTAGCTGGGACCACAGGTGTGCATGTGCCAACACACCCAGCTAATTTTTGTGTTTTTTGCAGTAACAGGGTTTCACCATGTTGCCCAGGCTGGTCTTGAACTCCTGGGCTGAAGTGATCTGCCCACCTCGGCCTCTTTGGCCTCTTCGGCCTCTCAGAGTGCTGGGATTATAGGCGTGAGTCACCGTGCCCAGCCTGTTCTCCATTCTTGTGGGTATTCCTGTTCATCTGTTTCCCTGAATTAATGTCAATTATCAGTATTTCCTAAGTGTCACATTCTTGTTCCTTTTTCTTGACTAGCATGGTTTACTAGAAATAGAAACAACAGCAAAAATATTTAGGTCTTATATAAACAAATATAGTTATCTTGTCTGTGCTTTCAAAGTTAAATTTATTATGCACAGTAATGGGTACCATGGAGTCAGGGAAGGGGCTACAAAGTGGCATCATCTATACACAGGGAACACATAAAGACTGTCCCGGGGTGTACCTCCCTAACTGTGCTGTCACTCCAACTTTCTTTGTCAGAAAGAAAAAGTAGTGTGAGGTGTATTCATTTGCAAGAAACAAGGTGGCAGCTGGATGGACCAACTGAGCAGGGAGGCCAACGTCATTTCCATCTATCCCTAGTGATGTTCAGTATAGCCCTCCCCTTCCTGAGACCCAAGAACAGAAGATATGCTTCCACAATAGAGATTTTTTTTTTTTAATGGCAGCACTCTCCTAACTACACATTCACGGACCAACCAAAGCCATCTCCAAGTCTAGAAAGGACACATACTACACGCAGCTAAAGTGCCAACCACTGATCCAGAATTTTCAAGATGGCACCTTTCCCCAAACTTCTATACCATTCATTAAACATAGACTGCAAACTGCTAGCCTGTAGAGCAAATTCAACCTGCAAGTATTATTTGCTTAGCTGCCTAAGCGTCTTTAAAAATTCGATTTAGTTGGCAATACACTGGGAGGTTTCACACAAATATCTAGGTTTCCAGCTTCTCTGAAGAGATAAATGAGAAAATCCATTCCCACATGGCAACAACCAGCTGGAGCTAACAACTGTTAGACAGCATGCCGCTCCCCGCTACTGCCTTACATCCAGCCAGCTTCGTGTATGCATGTTACCTGCCTGCCATTCACATCTGCTCTCCTTGCCCAGCAAATGTCCCACCTCAGCCTCACACTCAATACCCTTGCACAGGTTCCATAATCAGAGTGCAGGGGGCCACCCACACTATAGCTGGACAATCCCTGGATGCCGTGATATTTGTTAACCATTATGTTCTTTCCAACCACGGGAACCTTCCTAAGAGCTCAAGAGCTTCACTGCTGGATAAAAACAGTTCCGGATTCTGGATTCTGTCCTTTAGTTCTCCTTTTCCAGTCACTGCCCCAGTCTGCCTGGCCCTGGGCTCTGTTCCACATTGGCAATGAGAGCCCACGGCAGGGAGACTTCCAGCAGGCTTTTCCACAGTGCAGCCAAACTATCAGTAAACAGACTTTGTTCTCCATTAAAAGCCCTGGAGCAGCTGAGTTGCTTCACCTTATCCCACCTGGCTCTTATGGAGTCTGTTCCAAGTGAGAAGTTAGCAAAGTCCTGTAAATAAAGAACAGTTCAGAGGCCAACCTGCGCTCCCAGGTACCAGGATGCTCCCACGGTCTTCACTGTGCTCCCAGATGTTCGGCTTCATTGTTCTCATTTTGATCCTGATTTGGCATTTCTAAACCCAGGCGGCGCAGGGAACATACAAAGAAGCGAGGAAGTTTGCAGACCAAGTTGAGATCCTCCTTCCTGGACCCCAGGGCAGGGAGGATCAGCTGCTGGGCATGCAGGTGAAGGGGGATGTAACGGGCCTTAGACTGTTTCAGCCCCAGCTTCTTCAGGGTGCCCACGGACAGCTTCTATACAAAGAAAGGACAGACCCTTGAGAGCAAGGCCAACAGTCCACCCTTGAAGAACATGCAAAGTCAGGGGACTTCCACTTACAGGGAACCAACACTAACCCCCTGGAAGACATAGTCATGGAGAGCCTGCTTCAGGGGCATGTCTAAGAAGGGCTCAGAACCCAGGTGAGGGAAAAATGACCACACCAAAGACATTCTTTTTGGCCAGTGCTTTTTGGCCTACCAAGAAAATGGGCTGTGGTATAAGGATGAAAAGGCTTTCCCCGCGGTTCTTTAGCAGTAGCATGAAAACCTGCTCCCAGTCTTCAGAAACACCCCTCCCCTTGTCCACAGCCTCCCAACAAAATCAGACTAAACAAATGTAACAGTAAGCTTTTCACTAACAGATCCTGCAGTTCCACGAGGACAGTAACTGACTGCTTCTAAATTTCTCTAAAAGCAAGATAACGAGCTTGGTACCACGTCTGAAGACAATGAATAGGCTTTGCTGTAACTCACTTCAGAGATTTAAGAAAAGGAACGCCTAAGTTCTCTCCCGTATCTGTTGCATATTGGGTCAAATTAGTATTACCTGGGGGGCCAACCTGTTCCAGTCTGAGTACTTGTGATCACCAAGTATTGGACAATCCAGTCCAAAAGACAAGTGAACTCGAAGCTGATGTTTTATTCCTTAAAAGAGAGAGAAAGAAAGAAAACTTGTGAGGAGCTACAGAAACAATACCAGTATTGGCATCTGCTTCAAATCATATTAAATCAAAGTGCAGTAAACTGGCCAGGTCCCAGCTATAATAAAGTATAAAGAATAATACAGCAAACTATAAGCTATGTAGCACCAGCTAGCTTAGGAAGTAAACGTTGTAAATACCCTAAGTACCCCTGTCCACCACAATTCCCTCTTTCCACCATAGATAACCAACATTATGAACTTGCCGTCTACCATTACCCTAACTTTTCAGTAATTTTACTACATAATGGTAAGCAGTATTGATTTGCACACTATTTGAATTGTAGTAAAATATACATAAAATTTCCTGGTTTAACCACTGGCATTATACTAAATGCCAAGTCAGTGGCATTAGGTGTATTCACACTGTTTTTGCGACTGTCACCACCACAATCTCTAGAACTTTCTCATCTTCCCAAACTGAAACTCTGGACCCATTAAACAACAATTCCCCATTCATCTCCCCTCTTTTACCCTAACCTAAGATTTTGGCAACCACCATCTACTTTCTGTCTCTATACATCTGACTCTTCTAGGTACCTCACATGAGTGGAATCATACAGTATTGGCTCTTTTCTGCCCAGCTTATTTCACTTAGCATAATGTTTTCAAGGTGCATCCATGTTGTAGCAAGTGTCAGAATGTCCCTTCAATTCTTTGAAAGCTGAAAATAACATCCTATTTTCTGTATATGCTACATTTTGTTTCTCCACTCATCCCCCAATGGTCACTGGGATTATCTTCACCTTTTATTACTGTAAATAACACTGCTATGAATATGTGTGCAAATATTTGATGATTTTGGGTATATACCCAGAAGTGGAACTGCTGGATCTTACGATAATTCTATGTTTAATCATTTTGAGGAACCACTCTGCACAGTTTTAATAGAGGCATTCAAACTGTTTGTATTCTTTTGCTAGTCACAACCATCCCTATGGGAGTCCCCGTAGCCTCAGATCAGCACCAGAAGCACATTCTCACACAAGTCAGCCATAGCACCAGCTGCTCGGAACGAGGCCCCGGACAAAACCTGGTGGCACAGGGTTGTGTGATCCCACTGTGGAAGAGTGACACTCTCACCTGTGATGGGCTGGAGCTCCACGAGGGCGGAGGAGAGAGTACTGCTGAGCACCTGGTACCGAGTTACAGCAACTTGTGCATTCCGGCTATGCCGCACTTTCACCATTTTCCCATTGTCCATGCGGTAGCTCGGGGACAATGTCATCTGAAGCCAAAGAAATCAAGATATGATTCTCAAGGAAGAGCAGCAACCCCTGCCTCAGGGAGGCTGCCTGCCCACCTTGTGGTGCTGCTGCTGGCCTTGCGCTTCCTTCTCCACAATGGGGATGTCCACGACTCCTGCTGAGGGCATGGGGACACGCACAGTGATGGCCCTGGGGGTGACACAGATCACTGCTTTAGCCAACCAAGCCAGAGAAGACCTCCTAGATTTGGCCACTTAGAGGATTTCACACTGGACCTTCTGCACTAACACGTGATCTCATGATTGAAGGGTCGTGCAAGATTCTCTTGGTGTAATGCTTAGCCTGAGAGCAGATAGATTTCACAAGCTTATCTTTTTTACTATTAAAGTCATAGATGCTAATTGTAGAATATTTGGGGTAAAAAAAGAAAAAAATTATATTAATAATATGGTCTTCCCAGCCTTTAAAAATGGATAAGTACAGTTAAAATTATGATAATATAATTTTGTATTGTTTTTCTTTTTCAAATAATAAAAGATTGTAGATTCTGACCGCATGCTAAATGAACAAATGAATAAATAATTGGATGAATGAACCTAAGAAAAAATTCAGAGAACTGTTCCTGGCTCATTTGCCACATAGGTAAAACAGGAGGGAACTGTACCCAAAGAAGTCACAGGGGCAGGTGCAGTGCCTCACACGTGTAATCCCAATACTTTGGGAGGCCGAGGCGAGTGGATCACTTGAGGTCAGGAGTTCAAGACCAGCCTGGCCAACATGGTGAAACCCAATCTCTACTAAAAACACACACACACACACACACACACACACACACAAAATCAGCCAGACATGGTGGCATGCACCTGTAACCCCAGCTACTTGGGAGGCTGAGGCACAAGAATCGCTTGAATCCAGGAGGTGGAGGTTGCAGTGAGCCGAGATCATGCCACTTCACTCCAGCCCGGCGACAGAGCAAGACTCCGTCTCAAAAAAAAAAAAAAAAAAAAAGAAGTCCTAGGAACCACAACCACAACTCAGTAACTCATTCCAAATCACTTCTGTTGGTGCTCTCCCTCTCATGACCTCACAGACAGGTAGGAGACTGTTTAATCTGTCTGTATATTTATGCCTCTTTCAGGTCAATGATGGGAGATTCTCTCTGGGTACCTGGTGGTCTGTTGTATAATCACTAACCAAGGGGTCAAAATCCCACTCAGACACACTGTTTCACAACGTAGACACTCCATTTCAGTTTGAGCTACTATCTGGTACATTTTATCGTATTTTATAGATTTTATAGATCTTCTGTGACAAGATTGCCCTTCCTAATGATACGACACTACAACTCAAGAATGCTCAATCAGCAAGACCCAATTGATTGATTTCAATTCCTCCATGAACCCGATACCGAGAATGGTTACCAATTTTGAACCTTAATGGACATTTTTCACAAATAACATAACATGTATTTTATAGTCTTAACATTTTGATAGCTTGAATAGATAAAATAAGTCTCTATTTTTTATTTTTTAACTTTTCCTATGAACTAGGTACTGTTAAATATTTCACATGACTCAGTCTTATTTAACCATCTCATAAATCCTATTATTTCCATTTATCATATGAAGAAAACAAAGCTTATGGAAGTTTAATAACTTGCCCAAGGCCCCACAGTTGGTAAATGACACAGTTGAGAGTTGAACACAGATCTTTTTGAGGTCTTAGCTACTGTCCTAAATTCCTCCATTCTCTATAATTTTATTATAGTTGTTCTTAAATTTGATTGTATATCAAATTTTAAAATACAGATGCCAATCCCCACAACCATCAGACTTATGAATGAGAACCTCGTGGGTCTCAATCATACAGAATTTTAAAGGGCTTCTCAGATCACAAAGTACCTGCAAAATCTGTAATCTAAAAAGGACTAACATTCAAAATATAAAATGAATACTTACAAATCAAATAGAAAATAATAAATAGCCTGGGCCAGACACATTGGCTCATGCCCGTGAGCTGTAAGTGCTGTAATCCCAGCACTTTGGTGGGCGGATCACTTTAGGTCAGGGGTTCAAGACCAGCCTGGCCAACATGCTGAAACCCCATCTCTACTAAAAATACAAAAATTAGCTGGGCATGGTGGCGTGCGCCTGTAATTCCAGCTACCTGGGAGGCTGAAACATGAGAACTGCTTGAACTAGGGAGGAGGTTGCAGTGAGCCAAGATTGTGCCACTGCTCTCCAGCCTGGGCAACAGAGCAAGACTCCATCTCAAAGAAAAAAAAAAGGCCAGGCATGGTCTTAAAATACATAAATAAATAAAAATAATAAACGACCCAATAGAAAAATAGGTAAAAGAAATAAACAGTCTGTTTCCAAAAAGGGAAACTCAAATAGCCAATAAACATGTAAAAAACATTTAAATTGATAGCCAACATCACTGTTATATAAGAAAATAGAAAATGTCTTTTTTTTTTTTTTTAACTTATCACAGTGGCAAACCCTTTAAAAATGCTTTGGCTGATAAGGGGAGATGGGTACTCACCACTGCTGGTGGGAATGTAAACTGATAAAACCTTGGTGGAAAGCAATGTGAGTACTATTAAAATTTAAATATACACACCATTCAGCCCAGCGATTCAATTTTTAGAAATTTACCCTAAAGGCCGGGCGCGGTGGCTCAAGCCTGTAATCCCAGCACTTTGGGAGGCCGAGACGGGCGGATCATGAGGTCAGGAGATCAGGACCATCCTGGCTAACACGGTGAAACCCCGTCTCTACTAAAAAAATTACAAAAAACTAGCCGGGCGAGGTGGCGAGTGCCTGTAGTCCCAGCTACTCGGGAGGCTGAGGCAGGAGAATGGCGTGAACCCGGGAGGCGGAGCTTGCAGTGAGCCGAGATCCGGCCACTGCACTCCAGCCTGGGTGACTCCGTCTCAAAAAAAAAAAAAAAAAAAAGAAATTTACCCTAAAAATACATTCACATATTCTTTGCAATAGGCTCTAAAAAATGAGAAATTACCTAAATATTCATCAGTGGTATTTCACAGAGCAATTAAAAAGGAGACAGCTCTAACTGTACAGCACAAAATGCTCTAAGATATATGATCCAAGGGAAAACCGCAGGATACAAAACTGTGTGTAAAACACAGTACCATAGGAGTAATATGCTTACATATGCTCGATAACTCTGGAAGTTTACACAAGATACCAGTCACAGCGATTGCCCCTGGGGAAGGGAACTGCACAGATGGGGAACAGAGGGTTTCTTTTTTGCTCATGTATCTTTTTTCTCTGAAAAACATTGAGGTAAACCTCTATGTGCTAACACAGAATGATCCCCAAGACATAGAATTGGGCAGGGGAAAAAGTATAATGTAAATTGTACAATGTGCTATATATATATCTATGTACATATGTATCTACACACACACATACTATATACACTAGACATGTATGTAAATGCATTGAGTAAGAACTAGAGGAATAAAAACCAGACTGATTACATGGGTTGTTACCTCAAGGGAAAAGACTAGAATGGCAGAGTGGGTGGATTCTCCAGGAGTTTTTCACATTATCTTTGTTGTTTGACTATTTTTATCACAGGAATAAAATCATATATTACTCGTATAATTAATTAATTTTTTTTTTCTTTAGAGACAGGGTCTCACTCTGTCATCCAGGATAGAGTGCAGTGGTGTGATCATAGCTCACTGTAACCTCAAACTCCTAGGCTCAAGTGATCCTCCCACCTTGGCCTCCCAAGTAGCTGGGACTACAGCTATGTGCCACTATACCAGGCTACCTTTTTACTTTTTATAGAGAAAAGGTGTCGCTATGTTGCCCAGGCTGTTCTCCAACTCTTGGCCTAAAGTGATCCTCCCACCTCTGCCTCTCAAAGTGCTGTGATTATAGGCATGAGCCACTATGCACAGCCTATGCTTGTATAATTAATTTTTTATAATTTTGATGTATACCAGAATTAAGAACCACTGTTCTATCAGACTTAATATTCTAAGCACCAAAGCGGTTTCACATACTTTTTATAATCTCGCAGGTCCTAGTGCAGTGCCTTCTATTAATTGGAGTTTCTGCTTTTAATGGATAAATAGGTGAAAGAAATGCCTCCACTTATACCACCTCTACTGCCATCAGCAGGCCTCATACCAGTACTTCTTCACCACCTGACGGGTTCTAAACAACTCTTGGACTTGATGTGCCATGTCCTTGTCCCAAGCCAACACCATTATGCCTGTGGTTTCCTTGTCCAGCCGGTGGCACAGATGCAAGGGCTCTGCCTTGTGGCCATGAAGCATCTTTGCCAGGATAGGTAGTACATCACTGATGCAGAGCTGGACCCCAGGGCCACCTAAGAAGGAAAAAGCCAAAGATTTGAGTGGCCAGGAAAAGATCTCACCAAAGAACTCTTCTTGGGAGAAAAGCCCTTAATGGATAAACTGTCAATATTTTCTAGAGCATTACTACTGAAGTGTGGTCCAAAGACTAGCAATAATCAGGCCGGGCGCGGTGGCTCAAGCCTGTAATCCCAGCACTTTGGGAGGCCGAGGCGGGCGGATCACGAGGTCAGGAGATCGAGACCATCCTGGCTAACATGGTGAAACCCCGTCTCTACTAAAAAATACAAAAAACTAGCCGGGCGTGGTGGCGGGCGCCTGTAGTCCCAGCTACTCGGAGGCTGAGGCAGGAGAATGGCGTGAACCTGGGAGGCGGAGCTTGCAGTGAGCCGAGATCGCGCCACTGCACTCCAGCCTGGGTGACACAGCGCGAGACTCCGTCTCAAAAAAAAAAAAAAAAAAAAGACTAGCAATAATCGCATGTCTAGGGAGCTTATTAGAAATGAATCTCAGGCTCCCAACCTAGACTACTCAGTCAGAATCTGCATTTTACAAGCTGTCCAAATGGTTCAGAAGCATAATAAAGTTTGAGAAGCACCATTCTAGAGCACATGGCTTTCCTCTCAGACATACTTTGCAAAACCGTGAGGCCTTTGAGAAGCATTAAATAAGAGTGATTGGGAGGATAGGCTTCGGGGTTAGACATTCCTGGGGTTCTAGTCTACTCTTCTTACTATCCATTTTTCTGACCTTGGACACATTACTTCTCTTTCCAACTTTGCTTTCTCATTATAAAATGTAAATATCTGGAAAACAACTTCATTGTAGAATGGGAAGGCAAAAAACTGTTGTGAAAATAAAGAGAGAAAAAAATTATGGCAATGTCTGATTTAGTTCCTTGTCTTTATGAACAACTATCTCCATATCTCCCAGAAAAGCATTACCTTCTTCTAGCTAAAACGGGCCTTTTCCCTCTGCAAAATTCTTTCGCAAATGCATTTTTTAAATCAATCTTTCCTGATTCACCTCAGCTGTCCCTGACAACTACATGCAACATTTGTTGAAAGACATTTGAGCGTCCACTAAATTCCAGTCACTCTGGGGTTGTATGTTACATATACTCCCACATACATATACACACACACACACACACACCCTTTTTTCTTATGTATCATTTTCTCATTCCCAGTTTTGATGGAAAATAACCTTTAGTCTAGAACCACACAGCCTTTGTATATCTCTACAGTGATCCCTGTGGTCTGCACACAGCGTATTCCACTAATTGCTGCTTACTGTCAGATGTTTAGAAGGGGAGGACTGTCTTATTTATTTATTTCTGTGTCCTCGGTGGTTCCTTATATTGGACGGTAGTCTACAAAAGTTTAATTAATTTGAACGCAAGGCTTTAGAGTGCACCACAAGTAACGTCTCAGTTTTCCTCGCTTGTAGCAGAAAGCAGCCACAGGTCCCTCTCCCATTCCCGCGTGGTCCTTACCATGCACAGGGAGACCGTAGGGCTTATTGATGACCACAAGGTTATTGTCCTGGTGGAGAATTCCTCGGGTCAGTGCCTTAGCAAGCACGTTGGGGTGGACTCGCTGCAGCTGCCGTGTGAACCGCACTATTTCTTGCACTCTCCGCTGAACAGGGTTTGTGGACACCTAGGGAGAAAGAAGGAGCTGTGGGGAATGCCTGGTGCGGAAGCGGTGGAGAAGACCTTACACAAAGCTCTGGGTGAGAATCTGAGTGGGGAATGACTATCTTTGCATCAGACCCGCGCTTTCCTCGAGTAATCTGAGAGCAGGGGTACCAGGGGTACCAGTTTGTCTAACCTGCGTACCCACGCAGTGGGTAGGACCGAGCCTGACAGTAGCCAAAGACCCAGCTCACGGGAAAACACCGTACCCTTACTGACCCCTCCCCTCCACCTTCTCCCCATTCTCCCACCTAGCGTCCGGGCTATTGACTCACACGCTTTCAGTCAGAGGACGCTCCTACCTACTCCGGGTCCGGGAAACCAATGAGCGCACTGTCTCTTGGGAGTTGTGGTCCCTTCGGACTCACCGGCTTCTTGTTTGTGTCTTGTTCCCGTTTCTGGGCTCGGAGCCTCTCCGCTAATCTCTGGGCATTTACGGACGTAGAGGCAGCGGCAGCGGAACAAAATGGCTTTGAGACGAGACTGAAGAGACTCCCCAAACCCTGGCCGTTTCCCCAGATCCAGAGGCCCGACGCCCTCCACCTGGGCGCCGCCATCTTGCCAGGAAGGGAGGGGCGAGCCAAGACCACGTGGAGAAGGGCGGCAAGAGTGAGGCGGGAGTGGGTGGACCCTGTAGGTCACGTGGTGCGGGGTGGGGCCTGGACGAGTCACGGGGGTTAGGTGCGCGCTCAGTGCGGCTGCGCCGGCCGGTAGCTGCAGCTGGAGCAGTGGCGTTTGGAGGAGACTCGGTGAGTGTGTAGGGAAGCAGGGCTGGGGCTGGGAAATGCCGGTGCCTCAACGCTTTAACGTTTTCCGCGTCCCCGGGATTTCCGTTCAAGAAGAACACTGGTCCGAAAAATGTTTCTCCTTTTAGTACACGATCCCAGTGAGAAACTCCTCCCCGCCCCCGCGCCCCCTTAGAGGCGATGTCCCATAAACACTCGCCCCAGAGCCCTCCTAGGCACCTACGCCGTCCCTCTTAGCCACCGAATCTCCGGTGATCCGCCAGTCCCCTGCGGGACTCGTCGGGTACCCTCTTGATTGGATGCCCGGATCTCTGTAGCCTCTCCACCCGTCATCTTCCAACTCCCATCCTCTTTGTTTCACGTTGTAACCTGTCCCCCTCTCGTAAGGATGACGGCCCCTTCCCTTATCCAGGGCCCCCAGCCCCTACTTCCTACTTAGGAAGCACTGTGAGTGTTTTTTCTGTCCTTCCTCAAGAATTCATTGCTTGGAGTCTCCTCCCTACCTTCGCTACTCCTAAAGAAAAAGCTGAAAGTGCGGAGCACAGACCTTCACTTTTCCTGTTTCCTTTGTTTTTCCTCTCCTCCACAGTTTGCAACCGCACTAAACCCCCTCTCACGAGATGCGATGTTGAGATTCCCTTGCCCGAACTGCAAGTGACTCCCTCTGATTTCAATCAGGGGTGGCTGGGAAGATAAACATCTGCTTGGGATGGTAGTGTTAAAAGTAACTTAGGATGTTCCTGCCATTTGTTAAGAGGAAAACTTATGCTGAGTTCAGAAAGAATGTCCTGAAAACTAATGAATCTGTGAAGATAGGGGGAACAATTTTTTTAAGACTGCTTGGAATGAAGGCTGCCTGAGGAGTTATTAGAGAATAGGTAGTTGAATTAGATTTGGGTTCTACACCTCCTAAAGGGTTTGGCAGAAGGGAGCCGTACCAACAAGAAACAAAGTTGATCAGGTGGAGCTACTCATAGAAGACTGAAGTTGAAGAGTTTGAACTAGAGGTGACAAGTTGAAGAGTTGGAACTAGAGGTAGTGGGGAGTCTTTGAAGCTTCTTGAGTAGGGCAGAGAGACTCCTTGAAAGTGAAATTCTGGAAGTGAATCTGGCAGTTGAATGCAGGACAGATGGGAAAGGAAAGGGTTTGATAGTAGGAAAACTAGTTACAACCTAGGTGGTCAGTGATGAGGTCTGGTCTTTTCCCCTACACTGTAACTGTCCTTTGAGTTTGAATTGATTATGAGTTACGCAGGTAAAGATGTACTCTTGGCAGCTGCTGTTGATCTGTGAGTCCCTGGAAGACTTTTTTTTTTCTTTTAAATCCTCTGACCTGGCACATAGTAAACTCACAATATCTGTTAGATGGCTGAAGTGCATCATAAATGTATGCTAGGTGTGTCTGAACATTTTGAATTGTCTTATTTCTGTCACTGGCCTGAAGAATGAACGTAGAGGCAGATGTATTTGTAAAGTTGGAAAGAAGCAAGCGTTGTGTACGTTTCTGTTATAAGGCAGGTGTAAATGCCGATTCAGATATAAATGCGAAGAATTCCAAGGGAGATTGAGAAACAACATTCATTTCTCCTGTTCCCCCCCACCGCCCTGCACATTTACCAGTAGGACAGAGATCTATAAAAGTTGAGAAATTCCACCTTAAAAGAATTATTACCTTCCATGCTCCAGACCTAGGTTCTAATTTCACTAAACAGATGAACATCACGTATTACTTAAATACTTGAAGCTCCCTTTTCCAAGGACCCTGAAATTTTGACATCCGGAATTAAATTAATGTCATTACATTAATTAGAAACTTGTTTTGGGTACAGGACTTTTATGGTTTTGTGTCCGGGATGGGAGAACCTGTTTCTACCCTAACTGTATGGCATTCAAGAGACTACACCTGTTCTTGCAGAATTGGCCTTCTGTGGCAGGAAACAAAACGAAGAACCAACTCAAATGTCATTGCTAGTGACACAGAGCTTATGCTCTAGGGTTTCAGGTTAACTCAAAGCACACACTTAGTGATGAAGAATAAAAGTATTTGTTCTTTATTTCTGGAGAAGAAACTTTTAGGTTTGTCTTGTTGAAACTTCGTAGAGAAATTTAAAGAATTCAAAGTTTTTGTTTGGTATGACAGTACAGCTTTAGCCAGTATGGGTACGTCAGTTACGACATCCTTAATGTTTCTCCCAGTGAGTCTAGGCACTTGGTGATTTAGAGTTGTTCTCAGTATAATTTATGCAAATGTCATGTCTTTTTTTTTTTCTTCCTCAATTTTCAAAGAGCAATAATTGCCCCTCAGATAAACCTCATTGGCTGCGATACTGCCACTGCCAAAAACTCTTTTGTTTCTGGTTTTTGTTTTTGTTTTTTATAATCTCTGTATTGCCTCCTCCCTCTTCCTCATTCAGCTGGTCCTTTGTTAGGCCGTTCACTTTTCCATTTCTGTGTCAATGTCACAGTCCATTTGTTGGGAACTCCTCTTGTCTAAACTGTTTTCTTAAAACAAGGAAGGAAATTCTATTAGTGATTTCTTCATTCTTGGAGAGTACAGCTCTATTCAAACATGACTTATTTACATTGATTTTGATATATCATAATATGTGCCCCCCAAAATAACCATATGAAGAACTTGATAGTTTCTTTTTAAAGATATTTCCCAGTCTATTCCGCAACAAAAAGGCTGCATTAGTATTTCACAAGTATAAAAAAGGACTGACTAATAAAGGAACTTGCGTTTATCATAAATTTAAGGTTAATCAGTGGCATGAAGTTTAAGTTACGCCTCCTCAAACTGTGATTTGCTAGTTGCAGATTAACCAGCGATTCCATTTCCTTGAAAAGCAGGAAGTACTTGGACATTGTTTTATGGTTTTATAGAGATTAAAGGATGCAATTAGCAGGAACTCTCGGGAGGTGCCCTGGAAAGTGCAGTCATTGGGAGCCAGGAGATGTGGGACTAGTCCCAGTTCAGCCACTGCGAACTTGAACAAATAATTTGGGCTTCAGTTTTTTTGTCATTTAAAAGATCTTTGCAACTCTGTTTCTAGTCTGTGAAGATTTTCCACTGATACGTAAGTACTTTCAGCCCGAATCAGTGGGATTTATTTCAGATTTATCTTGAATACATTTAGTATTGATACTAAGAAACCGAATTCTGCTCTTGTCCCCAGAATTTAACTTTTCACCACTGAGCTAATGTTTATATTTGGAGGTTACTTCATTGAGTGGTGTTGGAATATACTTTAAGATTTCCGGCCGGGCGCGGTGGCTCACGCCTGTAATCCTAGCACTTTGGGAGGCCGAGGTGGGCGGATCACGAGGTCAGGAGATCAAGACCATCCTGGCTAACACGGTGAAACTCTGTCTCTACTAAAAATACAAATAGACGGGGATGGTGGTGGGCGCCTGTAGTCCTAGCTACTTGGGAGGCTGAGGCAGGAGAATGGCGTGAACCAGAGAGGCAGAGGTTGCAGTGAGCCGAGGTCGTGCCACTGCATTCCAGCCTGGGTGAAAGTGTGAGACTCCGACTCAAAAAAAAAGATTTGTTCAATGGGGGCGGGGTGTGTGGCTCACACCTTAATCCCAGCACTTTGGGAGGCCTAGCGGGGAGGATCTTTTGAGCCTAGGAGTTTGAGATCGCCTGGGCAACGTAGCAAGACCTCGTCTCTACAGAAAATCACAAAATTAGCTGGGCATGGTGACGCACCTGTGGTCCTAACTACCCTTGAGGCTAAAGTGGGAGGATCACTTAAGCCCAGGAAGTCAAGGCTGCAGCTTCAGTGAACCGTGATTGCAGTACTACACTCCAGCCTGGGTGACAGAGACAGACCCGTCTCAAAGAAAGAGAAAAAGTAATTTGTGTAATATGGTTTAAAAGTCAAATAGTAATAAAAGATTTATATTTAAAAAACAGTTTCTCAGGCTGGGTGCACCTGTAATCCCAGCACTTTGGGAGGCTGAGGTTGGTGGATTGCCTGAGGTCAGGAGTTTGAGACCAGCCTGGCCAACATGGTGAAACCCAATCTCTACTAAAAATACTAAAATTAGCTGAGCGTGGTGGCGTGTGCTTGTAATCCCAGCTACTTGGGAGGCTGAGGTAGGAGAATCGCTTGAACTGGAGAGATGGAGTGAGCCAAGGTTGCACCATTGCACTCCAGCCTGGGCAACAGAGCGAGACTCCGTCACCAAAAAAAAAAACCAACAAAACAAAAACCGTTTCTCTGCCCTCCCTACCTCATAGTTCCATTCTTTAGAGGCAACCACTCAGTTGTTTTCCTATTTTCCTCTGTCTTTACAGTAAGTTATCAACATCATCAGTATTCTTGAAACACCATATAACAAAACCAGTTTTACCATATGGTTTCTATGGCGTTTTTCTGGTCACAAAAACATACCCAACTTCTAAATAAAAACCAAAGCATTTCTAGTAGGAAACACTGAAACAAGGAAGATTTTCACCCACTTTTTGGTGAGTCAGTGACTTACTGCAATCATAGTGGTGGTGGGTTAAATCGAGGAATAAATGTGTGCAAAGTGAAAATTGTCAGAAGCATTTCCTACCACCATGCTCAATTCCAAAACAATCCATCACCAATAGGGCAGGCCCACTGAGAGCTTTTGTGCGACATCGGTTATTGTTATGCATTTGGATGATTACCATAAACTTTGCAGATTTTTATTTGCCGGTAATTTGTATTCATTCATGCGTTTTCCAGCTCAGGCTCACAGGTGACTGGAGCCTATACCGGCAGCTCAGGGCACAAGGCAGGAGCCAGCCCTGGACAGGACGCCATCTATCCCATAGGGTGCGCATGTACACACACACACACACACACACACACACACACACACACAGACACACACAGGGACCATGTAGACACACCAGTTAACCTAGTAGGCACATCTTCGAGACGTGGGAGGAAAGCAGAATACCTGGAGAAAACCCACGCAGACGTGGGGAGAACGTGCCAGCCCCACACAGATGGGTGACCTCAGCCAGGAATCACTTATTTTCTCATCAATGTTATGAAAAAACGATGTTGAACAAAATGACTCTTTTTGAGAGTCTGCTGTGTCTTCTTGTTGCTAAATAGTTGGTTTGTTATTCTTTCTTGGTTTTCCCCTTAGGTTTGGCCTGTTGATTTCTTGTAGCAATAGATTAGTATTTAGCTCTTGCATCCTACCACTTCCCTGTTTTTCCAGCCCTCTATCCCCTCATACAGTTCTATTGTAATTTTTTGCTAAAACAGGTAGCTTTTATGTACTTACACCTCTGTCAAATACTGTTCACTGTTGAGCTAGATGATCTGTGACAGTGTGTTCCTCCTGGTGTGTAGGTTGGCCTTCACCTGTGTGTTTCATGTATCTACTGTTAATTTTTTCCCAAATGCTCCAATGTATTTGTCACATTCTTGTCAGTAACATTTTCTGTGAGCTCAAATATATCACCTGTTTATTGGAGCTCTGCCACCGCTGCCGCCGCCGCCGCCGCCTCCTCCTCCTCTTCCTCCTCCTCCTCTTTCTTCTCCTTCTCCTCCTCCTTCTCCTCCTCCTCCTCCTCCTCCTCCTCCTCCTCCTCCTCCTCCTCCTCCTCCTCCTCGTCCTCCTCCTGCCTTTACTGTTGCTCTCAAGAACTGCTGCCCTGGGGTCCTCCTGGACCTGCCCTTTCTGTGCAGGAACCGTGTCTTCCTCTTTCTGGGCTTATGTCTTTATTTTTTAAAAGCACATACTGCAGTTATTTCTAAGAAGTATTTGAATGACTTTGTTTGGCCCACACACTTGTTTCATAGTTTGGCAGATACATAATTCTAGATTGGAAATAAGGTTCTCTCAGAGTGTTGAAGGCATCTGTAATTGCTCTAGAGACATGGCGATTCAAATCCTTCTTATGTGACCTTATTTTGTTTGTTTTCTCCCCTTCTGGAAGCTTTGAGGATATTCTCTGTCTCTGGTGTTCTGCAGTTTCGTGATGTGTATTAACACCAGACTGTGGGTCTTTACTCAGCTGTTGTGCTGGCTTCTCACAGACAGATTTGGTTCTGGAAATTCATGTTCTCTAGTTCCGGGATGTTTTCTTACACTATTTTTGTGATTCTTCCCTCAATCTTTAATTTTTCTTTGATACCTTTTTGTAATATCGATTCTTGTTATGTGGATATGATGGGCTCAGCGGTCCCATTGTAGTGTTTTAGTTTTCCTCCTCTCTGCAGGGGTTCCATTTCCTCCAGGTGATGTGGGCCTTTGCACCTGTGCCTCTGTCTGGATGTGTCTTCCCTCAGATAGCCAGTGACTTGCTCCCACACCTCACTTTGGATGAATCCACAAGTCTTTGCTTAAATGTCACCTTAGTGAAGAGAGCGCTGGATTGAGAAGTTCAGACCCCTATCTCACTTCCCTGCTTTGTTTCTCTCCAGAAGCATTTCCCACCATTTAGCATCCTACGTATTTATTTACTTCTCTCCCTCACCACTAAAACATTCTATGAGGGCAGGGATTTTGTTTTTTTTTGTTTGCCTCTATAATTCCAGCCTCTGAAACAGTGCCTGGCGATGAATAGATGCTTAATAATTTAAGGAATAAATGACTTATTTTATTGTGGGATTTCTTCGAATGCCGAATGATTCTGACTGTTCATTTTTGGTTTTTGTTATTTTAAGTTCCCAGCATGAGTCTTGTTGGGTGGTGGGCATCACTGGAGGGTGACTGGTATACATGGGTTTTGTGTATATGTTTGTACAAATGTGTATGTTTGCTAATGTTTCTTTAACTGACAGTGCATTGGTTGCTAGGACAAGGATGGGGGCTTGGATAACCTTTTAGTATGCATCTGTTGACATAATCTGTGTTTTCAGTTCTTCATTGCTCCTGCTAATGTATTTCACTCCAGACCCATTTCAGATTTCAGTTCGTTTTTCTCTAAACCTCTGGATGGAGGTGGAGAAAGTAGATGAAAATAGATAGTGCTCTGGCTTAGCAGGGGATGAGGAAGACGCTTTGCGCATTAGTTAAACAGACTTTATGCCAATCCACATTTTCAGGTCTGCATTTAAAACTTGCTTTCCATCTCCAAAAATTCATTGAAAACTTGAATGCTTCTCTCCTGCACCTCACATTCTTGGTTTTATACCTTGAAAAAAGAAAAACTCCTCTGTTGTCATTTTAATAGGGTCCTTGGAGAAAGATTAAGAGGTAAACACTTAAGGACGGAAGTTATGTTTTATATTCTTAGTGTCATGGAATGCAGCACAGTAATATCACATAAGGAAAAGCATGAATTTCTTGTTTTCATTGTTTATTTTTGGAAGCTTATCCTTCAGCTCTTACTTATCTTTTTTTTTTTTTTTTGGAGAAAGGGTCTTTCTCTGATACCCAAACTGGAGGGGGTGCGATCATGACTCACTGCAGCCTCAACCTCCTGGGTTCAAGCGATCCTCCCACCTCAGCCTCCCAAGTAGCTGGGACCATAGGCATGTGCCACCACACCTGGCTAATTTTTTATTTTTGTAGAGACAAGTTCTCCCTATTGTTGATATGCCTTACGAGTCACATTAACAGTGCGTAAGAAACACTCTCTTTTTAGCTCTCTTGCTAAGGAGCAGGTTTGAGAGCTGTTGCCAGAACTTAGTACTTCACTGCAGTTTTACAGATTCCGCAGGAGTCTTGTCCGTGGGGCTGGGAAGTGTCTACCCTCTGCTGACTCTTCTAGGTTCCTGCTGGTCCCCAGTGCCTCCCTGCCCCCAGCCACTAGAAATAGACTGCTTCTTTCTTTCCTCTGCTGCAGAAAACATGCACTACGGTACTTATTAAAATTAACTAAAAAAAAACTCAAGCAGCTTGAGTTTTTTTTAAGTTAATTTTAATAAGACATTGAAGGAAGAATTTTGTTTTAAAGGAGGGGCTTATATGTACGAAGATTTATGGTGTAAAAGCAGGGGCAAACTAATGAATGACGTTTTTAGAATTGATATGAACATGAACCCAGGATACTCAGCCTTACTCCGAGAGTTCCTCTTAAAAACTGCTTTTCTCCACATAAACCCTAATGTCAGCAGTGGTTAGCTCCACATTGGAG